GGAGTTCGCAAACGGATAGAATATGGAGAAATACGAAATAATGTGCTGTGGTTTTCTGAAAACGGGTCGCGTACGGTCCGTATACGGTTCCTATTTCAACCGCGCGCGAACGCTGAGCGTCCGTAACGGATTGTTCGCGAATCACCTGTGAATGACCTAGAAAACTCAGCAGGTGCATGTTAGACCAAATCTAGACCATCAACTACGGAGGGCTAAAAAAATCATATTGAGTTAGGCCACTTCATTTCTCACATGAAACCAGAGGGTGTGATTTTCGACTTCAATTGAAAAAAATTCAAATTCCCATTCGAATTTTCAGAAATCACACACTGAATGGAAGGCTTTAGCCGCGAAATGTTCAATTTTTTTCATGTTTAAAAATATTTACAAGAAAGATTATCAAAATTTCAAACAGCTCATAATTCCGCTTTCAATGTTCCCAAGTCTGGGATTTCTGGGCCCAGAAAGCAGTCCCAACAGGGACGCCCAGATTCCCAAGTTTTCCAATTCGCATAGTTAAAACCAGTGACACATTAAACTCTATCACTGTGAAAATCAGACCGACATCCCCAAAAAACTAAAATGTACGAAAATTATAGAAATTTTAAATTTCAAAAAAATACAGTTTTTTCTGAAACCCCAAAAAAAATCAATTCGGAAAAAACATTTTATCAGAAAAAATTCAGAAAAAATGAGGATCTATTCACCATTCTTCTTTTGAAAACTTTCATCTGCTTACTGAATTTCATCTTCTTCCGTCTGTTGCTCTTTGGTTTCAAAAAGAAGACATGCCTCCGGTTTCATCTTAACTCTTCTATCAGCGGGAACATTCTCCAGTGATTCCTTTGAATCTTCCGATTTTTTATTGGGATTTCTGTTTCGTTTTTCGTGTTGTGCACAAGCCGCTTCCATTTCCTTTTCGAGCGCTTCAATTTCCGATTTATTCTAAAAATAATGCAACTTTTGAAGTAACAGATCACAGTTCCAACTTTTTCATTATCAACATTTCCTTGGTATTTTATAACTTTGGGGTCGAAAATTAAATCACTTTCAGCAACACGCGTAACGCGATCATGGATAGCAGCTGTAAAAATTTAAAAGTTTATCAGAAAGTGTATCAAAGAAAACGCACGATTATCAACTTCCACTATAGTCTTATCCATTTTACCACAGAGTTCTGCTGGGATCACATCTCCATCCAATCCAATATTCTGTGTTTTTCCAGATCGAGTATTCGCTTTCACTTCGTTCTGAACTTCCAAAGTAGTTGCCTTTGAAATCGTCGATTTCTTCTTTTTCCTTGACGAAGAATCAGCTTCTTGGGTGGTTTTTGTCTTTACTTTTCTCGATTTGGATTTCGATTTTTCACCACTTTTTAGTTTCTCATTTTCATCTGGTACCTTCTGGACATTGTTTTGATCCTCTGCCTTCGGTTCTACTTTGTTTTTCTTCTTTTTCTTCTTCTTATCACTCTTCACACCTCCATAACTACTTTCATCGCTTGGCAAAACTTTGGAATCTTTTTCAGATTTCTTTTTTGAGCAGAGAACAATGAAACAAAGAGACATCGAGAAAAGAATCATCACTTCGTGTATTGTGTTTACTGAGATGGATTTGTTTTGAGATATTAGGCTGGTATGCAAAAATCGGAGCTGTGGAAGAGAAAATCTGACGGCCGAGGCCACGGCCGAACTACCGTAGTGAGCAGCTTTTTTTTCATATTACTCTAGTCTAATTTCCATGCGCTTTCAAGGATGGGCGGGGCTTAGGTCCCGTAGCGAAATCATCCACAAAGGTGTATTTAAAGGACCATGTGCAAAGGTGTATTTAAAAGACCATGTAACTTATTAAAATTTTTTGTGGTCTATTTTTTTCGATTTCGCAAAAAAAAATAGGCTAATAAATAACTACGAACTCACACGCTTTTTTGAATGCACCTTTAAGGATTTTTCTACCGGACCTAAGCTCCGCCCATTCTTAAAATTTCGCCGCCTTTTGTCCCAGTAAACAAGAAAAAAGGACCAAAAATTTTGGATTATGGCAGTTTTCATTACGGGGACCGCTGGTCACGCCCACAAGATTTTCTCTTCCACAGCTCCGAGTTTTTTGTACCAGAATAATATAGGAAACTTACAGAACATGGTGCATTTGATGATAATGATATTTCAATCTGAATCTATTCAAACTATCAGATATCACCGTTTTGCTGGAAACCTTTTTTCCCAGTTTTTTCTTCATAACGTGAGTTTCTAGATTTATTTATTCGAGATAATTAAAAATCAATCAAGTTGAGTTATCTAAATCATTTTCAAGAATTCGTGTTCATTTCATCGCCTGATTAAAGCAATTCACTGTGACAACAGGACAACATTGCCGCAATGTCATTCGGAGATTATCTCATTCTCGTCCAGAATACATTTCTGATTGCGCTCATCTCTTGTCCAACATGGATTCTCTGTAAAGGAAAAAAGAAGGCGTCTGGAGGCGGAGGAGCGCAGACACCGTCGAAACGAGGATCCTCCACGGAGTCTCTTGCCGTCAAATCTGCTATTGTGAGTTGTTGGAAATTTGATTTTTGAGGTCTTAAACACTTTTCATTTTTCAGAAACCTGCCGTAACTGATCCATCTCCGAGTACACTGGGTCCAGTAAAAGAAGAAACGAAAAATGAAGAGCCAAAAGCAGGAGAAGTGAAGACAAGTGGTGAAAGTAAGGATGCAGGAGGAGGTGGAGAAAAAAGAGGATCAGATGATGGGAAAGATGAAGGACAAAAGGATGAAAAAGGTTCTGATGGCAAGGAATCCAAAGATCGATCTCTGAAACCATTCCCAAAGTTTGAAGTATGTTATCCTTGTTTTGACCAAAAGCTCATTAACCCTTAAATGATTCCAGATGCCAACTGAAAGTAAGAAAAAGAAGAAGATGAACGATCACGAGAAAGACAAGAAGGAGAAAGTAAAGGCTGGGTTCTATCAGGAAAAGTCAGATGAAGATGATACACTGGACAAAGTAGACAGTCTTCGAGTTGAGCAATCGGATAAAACGAAACGATCGCAGAAGAAGAAAAAGTGATTTTGACAGAAAGAAGGATATTTGAACTATTCGAACAAGCACTGCTATTTTTTTATAGATAAATATAACTTTGGATCTTTTCTTTTGTCTTCTCCTTATGTAACAGAATTCCATTTTTTTCTTTTGAAAATGCAAAGGATATTTAAATTTAGGAGGATGAAAATGAGTATAAACAAGTCTATCTACAAGTCTTCAAAATGAGTGTAAACAAGTCTATATTGAAAATTTTTGGATTTCGGTGTTCCTAATTTCGCCATTTCAAGTCTTCCTCATTTGAAACTTAATTTTTTAGATTTTTCTTGTTGAGAACTTCCAAATGAGTAAAAAAGACCTATTTAGCTTGATTCTAATTTTCAAGGATTCATCCGCCTTTCATCTGGGTACCTATCCTCAATTTTGCCATGTTTATACTCATTTTGAAGCACAAAACGAAGGGAGTTCAAGAAACTAAGTTTCAGTTTATTTGACCTAAAACTAGGTCAAATAGACTTGTTGAAAAAGTTAAAAGATCAAAAATCAACGCTTGTTCATAGTTGAGACGCTCAAAACGCGCCGAATTCAAATTCACTCACTATTCCGACCCATTTGCAATTTCCCAACCAATTGATAATGGGTGATAAGTGATGTATAATACATGTGGCAAACGCTGAAACATCTTTAAACATAAGGGATAAATTGAGTGCGAAACCATCTAGAAATGGATGAACATGTTTAAAATCCAGTGATTTCTACCGTAACCTATGGACCATCCAATGCAGTAGATGTCAAAAATATCAACTAGGTATATATAATTTAAGTTTTGATTTCAATTATGTAAAATTTTTCAAATTTCGGAAGAGCTCCATTTTTCGGCAACCGTTTTCTCCAGAACTCTCCCATTAAAAATCAACAATTTCTGTATCAAACTTTGGAATGTTCAATGAGCATTGCTCATGCGATCAATTCGGCTGAAATCTACACACGGATCCTGAAAATTCCCTTTCCTTTCAACTTTCAAAGCTCCCTACCCACAAGCCGGTTTATGTGAAACGCACCAAAAAAGAATACGCCGGATCTTCTTTTGAAAACCTCTCATTTTCTAATCTTCCCCCTACCGCATTTCCAAGTCACGTCAGTCTTTCAGCATATGCAAATACTCCTGAAGAGTCCCTCTTGAGAAGACGTACTCCTTCCCAGTTCTTTTCTTCTCTCTTATTTTCTCTTCAAAGTCCCCTAACAAACGGTTCTGTTTTATACGATTTATTCAACCAAAAAAGAAAACTCAGTGAAGTTCATCTGAATGTAATTGGGGGGAGAATGGAAGAGAAGGGAAGGGGTTTTCTGAGATTGTGGAGAGATTTTTGGGAATTTGGAATCGATTATACATGAAAAATACATGGGGAATTTAAGTGTGAGAACAGGGAATTTGCCCGACAGAAGAAGATATACATTATTGGGAGACAACGACTGGTTTCTTTTCCTCGTCGATGTGGGTGATCCATCCGAATCCTTCCTTCTCCTTGATTTCACCGATGATGGTTTTGTTCTCGAGCAGATAGAACGTTTTCGTTTGGCAGGCGTACACCAGGTACTTGATGGAAGCGAACGAGAAGAACAAGTATGGGAAGATGGTCCAGAAGTAGATCTCGGAACAGACGCGTTCGATCTTCGGTGGGCACACATCGGACGGTGTCGAGACTCCTGGGGCGAAAAAGAAAACCAAAACTGCGGTGAGGAGGAAAAAGACTTTGAGCCCTGGGAGGCGGAAGCTCGGGTACTCTTTCATCGATGGACGAATAGATGCATCACAAGCGTAGTGGATCACCATGCATGGAATCAGGAGATGATAGAAGATCATGACAGCGAAAATGAAGATTGTCTGAAATTTCGATATTGTGAAAAAGAAGGATAAGAATTGTATATAAATAAACTTACGAATGAGAAGACACGGAAGAAGATGAGGAATGCACTGAACATGGTACTGAGCAATGCAGCAGCCCAGACGACGTTCATGAGCGTATTTCTGGTGCGTTTCACACAGGAGAAGCATTTGTAAACGATAGCACCATAGATGAGAGTGTAGAGGGAAATAAAAGCGAATTGAGCAACGTAGAACAGTGGATGCTCCCAGAAGTACTCAACGATCTCACCTCCAACGGATTTCTCGTGAGACCCAGTGTTTGGGTTAGACGAGAGAAGGACACTCCATGAGAAGTCTGGAATACGAGCGACGTTCTCGTAAAAATCGCCTGTAAGGAGCGCAGGCTGACCCAATGGGCAGTAGCGAACCATTGTGACAGAATAAGCGAATGCGATGGCAGAGAGCGCTTTTATATGCGCACTCTCGGGGCAAGTAGAAGGCGAGAGATGGAGAATATGTCGATCAATAAGTTCTCTCGGGCCTTGTCCGTCGTGGAAAGAGTACGTCGCGTTGAGTGCCTGCAGGGTGCGAGAAGACTCTCTGGCACATGAATATTGATGCAGAAAAGGGGAGTGTCTTGTGGTGTCGGTAGCCGAGGAGACGTATAAGAGAATGCCTGGCTGGTTGCCCCGTAAGACAAAGACAGAAATGTATACTCAAACAAGGAGGAAGGAGACGAAAATTAGGTTATCAATAAGGTCAAACGTTATCAGGGTGGGAGCTAGGGAAGATAAGAACCTTCACAAGTTTCATTTACTTCGCCGAAGCTTGACCGGTCTACATTTGAGGAGAAGCTACAGTATACCTGCTGGAATGAATTTCAAAAATTCGAATTTTCCAATGGGATCAAACAAATCGAGATCGAGAATCTTGGTAAAAAATCCCACAACTATACCGTAACCTAAAAGTAGTTTTATTTTCCGAATACATTATCTCGATTTTCGTCCGTTGTCAATAAATATTTATGAGTAGAAGTAGCGGAAAACTGGACGAAGGACAGTGAAAACCGAAAAAATAAATCATGACAATAAAAAATTTTAAGGTTACGGTAGCTGTCGCTGTGGGAACTTCCGCCACGGCCAGCGCCATTTCTCTTCCATATCTCCAATTTTTGTACCAGAATAATATTAGGACCAAATTTTTAGACAACATTATTCAACTTTTTGAAACTATCATTTCTTGAAATATATCTTCAGATTTTTGTCAAAAGTATTTCTTCCGTATTTATCCCAATATAGTCCTAACGGATTCGGGGTATATTCCAGTATAGCCCCTCGAAACATTCCAATATAACACCCCTGGCATAAATGTTGGAATACACCCCCACCCACCATCTTTCATAAGCTGGGTGGGGGGTTCAAAAAAAGGTTTTCCTGATTTTTTGCCTGAAGATCAAACGTACGCAGCCATGTTACGCATAGAAAAATATTTGTTATTTATCGATTTTGCACCGGTTTTTTGTTAGTTTTCTATAGATTTCCGCGTTTTTTCTATATTTTTCTCAATTTTTCCAGATTTCTGGTTTATATTACCTTACATTTTTTGTCATTCTACTAGAGAAATAATTATTTAATGCCAGTCCCCAACAAAAAATAGGCTTAAGCAAAAACGGGTAAAAATGTTGAAGATTTCAAATAAAAATAAGCTTAGCACCCTAAATCGGCGTATTCCTTGAAAACAAGACCCCTAGAAATTTTTAGGATTTCAAAGAAGCCATTGCTATCTGACTATGACATTAAAAATTCGAATTTTGTATCTATTTTTGTCAGTCACTTTTCTTTTGTATTTTTTCCATTTTCAGTACATATAATGTCTAGGAAAAAAATGTTAAGACATTGTAAGTACAAATTTCAGATTCTTTGTCTAGGAGTATACTTCTATTCTCTTCTTGGTTTCTAATCTCCGATTCTAGAAATTCACAGTATTATTCTGGTACCGAAAATTGGAGATGTGGAAGAGAAACGCCGGTGGTCAGGCCGAAAGTCCCAAACAACCGTATCCTGAAAAAGTGTTATTTACCGGTTTTTTTTTCGATTTTTGTGCTTTTTCATTCAACCAAGATAAGAAAATAGGAAAATAAACATATTTTTAGGTTACTTTAGTTGTCAGTGTGGGACCTTCGGCCACGACCACCGGAACAATGTACAATAACACAAAAGAGCAGAACATTTATTTTACAAAAAAGTAGTTCAATGCATTGATGGAGTTATTGTCTTCTTACTCATTGGACGGAGAACCTGTAAAATGACATTTTTCACTTGAATCTCCCTAAAACTCACATGAAAAGTACATAACAAGTTCTCATCCACATTCATAATCGCAGCAGAATTGTCGAATTGTCCACAATAGTGAGGAGCTGAGAATATGGTTACGAGTTTCTTCTCAGCAAAAAACTCATATCCGTCTTGAACAACTTGATGAGCTCTCGCAATTAAATCAATTCCCAATGTCTCAATAGCTTGTTTAACCACATTTGCTCCAAAAATATAGGAGACTCCACGAACATTTGGTGCCCAATCAGTGATTGAATTATCTGGATCACTCCATAACAAGTCGATATGAAGAGATGGACTTGGTGGATCCATTGGACGAGGCAATTCACGAAGAGCATCGATATTTGTCAGTTTAGGAGACAATCCTCCATGCATACAAAGAATCCTTCCCGAGACGAGACCAGTGAATGGCATTGCGGCGAACGCTTCCTGGAATGCCAACCACAAACGGGTACTAGCATATCGTTTGTTACATTCTTCGTAGAATCCGTAAACTCGATTCACAGCTGGACATTCATGATTCCCACGAAGCATATAGAATCGATCGAAGAATTTGATTTTGTAGCAGAGGAAAAGAGTGATCAACTCAAGATTCTGACGACCACGATCCACGTAGTCACCGAGAAAAATGTAATTTGAATGTGGAGGGAAACGGGCGATATTGAAGAGACGAATCACATCTGGAACATGTATGAAATGATGGAAAGATCCAGAAGTTTATTCTTTTTACCTGAATACTGTCCATGAACATCACCACAAACTTTGATCGGCGCTTCCACCTCAACCATCACCGGCTGGAGAAGAAAACTTTTCTTCGCCAAGTTGCACAATGCCATCAAGTCTTGCTCTTTGACAGTTTTGGTCATACTCTTTTCTGCATGACCGACTGATAGGATTTTGACTATCAGCTCGTCGATATCAAGTCTAGACGCCATGCTATCTTTAAATGTTTATTTTCTAAGAATCCTGGGAATTTTGAAACTACTCACCATCTATTGTTTTATATGCTGAAGCCATATCCGTCGGTATAACGCACGTTTGGATGATTTGAAAGTAATTACAGAAGAGAATAAATGTGAAATGGATAGACAAAATTTAAGAGATAAAATCGAGGAGAAGTTTTTGGGGAACTATGAAATTGTTTTGATAATTGATACACGTCTTACGATGAGAAATAGACTAGCAACTAAATTGCAAAATCAAATCCAGGTTACAAAGTTTATAAATAAACATGAGCCCAGAATCACTGGTTGGTTTCTACTAGCTTCGCTGTCATTTATATCACTACAAACACCCTAAAACCTCTAATAGAACGACCCTCTAACATTCAAGTTTGATCCAATTTATCTCATACCCTGTAAAAGATATCAAAGAAGTTAACTGAAAAAAATATTCTTAATTTTAGAATCTCATGGAATTTCTTGAAAATTTCGGACTTCTAATACTGTTGAACTACAGTAGTTTTTGAATTCCTTGGAACGTCCCTGATTTTTGAAGTTCCCCATTTCCATGTTACTAGAATTTTTCTGATTTCTGAAATTTCTTGATTTCTGGAATTTAAAATTTCCAATTTGTGATACTCAGAGAATTCTGACAAATTTAATAAATTCGAAAAATTCAGAAATGCTGCAAACCCTAATAGAATGCCACCAAGTCTTTCCAAGTTCATCTAATGTATCTAGGTTCCTGTAGAAGATATTCAAAAAAGGTCAATTCATAAAATGTTGTTCGTAGTATCACACACATTTTTGTAGTTGACCACGTTTTGATATCTTCCAGAGGAACCGAGATAAATTGGCTCAAAGTTGAGTGTTTGGTGGTACTCTATTAGAGTGTTTACGGTGTTTAGTTTACAATCTAAAGTAAAACCCGAGTTAATCAGAAACTCTTGAAATTCAAGAACGTGATCTTGTTTTCCAAAATTTTAGGTCTTTAGAAATCCAACCAAGATAAGATCTCATTCCAACAGCTTCGTAACAAGAAAAACACCTCAATTCGGTTTTCAAATCATCTCCTCACTTCACATAATAATGCACCTCTTTTGGTTTCTCTGGGAGAATGTAATTGTATTTTTTGTTTTATCAATTGGCAAACTTTTCACAGATTCACATCGTCTTCTTCTTCCTTCTACCGTATTCTCTTGTTCAATGCAAATGAAAAAAGAAGTTCAGTGGCGATTCTTGAGTATAAATTTATGAAAAACTTTGAAATTAGAGAAATTTTATTCAGGTTCAATTAGTCGATACGAATACTCCAAAGAATCCGACATCGAAGAAAGATGCTCGTCGTCCACAGTCTCAGTACGTTTGAAATCTGTAGTTTGTAGTCTAGTTTGTACTTTCAGAGTTGCTCCACAAGAAACACCCGCAGAAAATTCGAAAGTCGCTGATGACACTCTGGCGTAAGAATTCTTGTTAGCAGAAGACCTCAAGTGATTCAAACTTTCAGAAATGTTGCCTCAATCGCCCCGGATGTGTCAACTGGAGCCCCGCCGAAATCCTAATCCATTACTCTTTCTTTTTATGAAGTCGTTCAATATTTGAAATTCACTTTTTATCAATGTTCAAAACTTGTAAAACAAGAGTTCGGGGGTTGTTAGATGAGAGTACGAGGTACGGATTGGAAAGCGAATCATTTGAGGTTCATAATGAAAATTTAAATATAAAAAACGCAATAAATCAATTACAAGAGAGAAAAAAACTATAAAAGGCAGGAATTGGGTTTTTAGGTGAGAGTGAAATTTCTAAAAGTGAAACTTTGAGAACAAAAGAGAGATGCAGATTGGAAGAATGGATAAGGGGAGGTACTACAAAGTATAAATGCAAATTAGAGAATGTATTGAGTTTTTGTTTTCTTTTATTTTATTTTTTCGAGAGTCTTCTTGAAGTTCTAAATTTTACTGAAGGAGCAGATGTTGTTGGAGTCTGAAAATTTTCGAATTGAATATCTGACTTGAATTCATACTTTGCTTGCCTCATCATCTTCTTCCATAGGCATGCCATACTTGTTTTTCTTTGGAGACGTTACTTTGGTTTTCGAATTCTTAGCTGGAGGTTTTTCAGGAGATTTTGCACTAGATTTAGCCGAAGATCTAGATGAATTTCTAGTCGGAGTCTTCGGTGTTTCCTTTGTTGCCGCCTTTTTCACAGGAGAAACCGTTTTGACAGAATTCGTTTTTTCAACGGTAGCTGAAGCTTTCTTGGCTCTCGGAGTTGACGGATCATTTCTTCCAGTTGTTCTGTTCTTCGGTGTAGGTGCTTCCTCTTCTTCTTCTTCTTGTTCTTCTACCAAAACTTCGGATCTTTTACGCTTCACAGTTTTTGGTTTAGTATTCACAAGTGGAGTGGATGCTGTGAGGGTGGCTGTTGCAGCAATGGTTCGAGCACTTCGGCGGTTCTGAAAAATTTTTTTTTTGAATTTCGATCTTATAAAATGTCATGAAAAGCAACCAACCCTTCCAGAAGATTCATTTAAAATCGGTGAAATCACGAGGTTGTCGAGTGAAACGTCATCAATCCTCTCTTCATCTTGTTCTAAACTTGAACTCTCAACTTCAGACTCTTTCTTGTTACTTCGTGATCCACGTCCAGAAGATCGCTTCTTTGGCGAGACATCGTTTTGGGATGTGATTCCATTGACTGAAGAAGTCGCTTTAGGAGATGGACCAGCGCGACGTTTCGGTGGAATTAGTTCATCTGGCATTTCATCCTCTTCTTCTTCATTAGGAACAGCACGAGCAGAACTTCGACCGCCACGACGTTTTGGAGGTATTAACTCATCTGGCATTTCATCTTCCTCTTTATCAGGAACATTACGATTTGAAGTCCGAGCACCGCGACGTTTCGGTGGAATCAATTCATCTGGCATTTTATCTACTTCTTCTTCTTTATCACGACCACCGCGATTAGAAGACCGAGCATTACGACGTTTTGAAGGTGGAATAAACTCATCCTCATTTTCTTCATCTGGTAGATCATAAACGCCTCGTCTGCTTCTAGTTTTCTTGACCTGTGGTGGTGACTGAAAATGTTTTCTAATTGACTATAACTAACTTTTTCTACTTACTTTCATTTCATCGTCCTCACTTCCTACAGATGCACCGCTTCTTCTTCCTCCTCTTCCGACACCTTTCCTTTTCCCACCTGAAGTGTTGGCTCCGGTTCTTCTCGAAACATTTCTTGAAGAATTCGATGCACTAGTTTCGTTCCCTCGTTCTTCCTGAGGAGCCACTACGGTGATATCAGCCACTTGGAAGATGTGTCCTGCTTTAGGAAGTTTTCCATTCCTTTGTTTCTCGCTGTTGATAAGAACATCCGGTGCGTAGCAATTTGAAGGATCAAACGTATTTTTTTCGCATACATAGAAGAATTGAAGGTTGAAACCGACATCTTTGGAGTCTTGGTCTTCCATTTGAAGCTTTGCACGATACAGCATCATGGAGATTCCGAGATCACACAAAGCCCATATTTTCTGAAAAAAAACAAAGTGTTGCATTTTCAACTCGTTCCGTTTTTCCCATACCTTATTATGCTCAATCAATTCAACAGATGTGAGACTTTTCTCAGAACGCATTGGTTTATCTCCACAAGATTTCAACTTTTCCAGAACCAGCCATACTTTTTGCATGTTGCATTTCGCTAGTTTTAAGGCGTCCATCACAACCCACATGGATCTAAACCGCTTTCAATAATTCTGACTCAACCAAAAACCCAAAACTTACTCTTGAAGCTGTGCAAGCACGTTCACATTAGCAGCTTTTTGTTCAAGAACTTCTTCTGAATCACCCTTGTCAGCATTCTTTTCGATTTTCTCCAACCCATCGTAGTTCGCGAGTAGCCAAACAACATAGGCAATCACAGTCTCAGCACAAAAAATGGCTCTTTGAGGACCTCGTAAATTAGCCGCGTTAGCTCTGTCTTCGCTCCGCTCGGCAAACGATTGAATTGCTTGATTCATGCATATCCCTTTGAAAGCTTCCATTTTGTTTTCACCGTCTTCTTCTGTCAATCCCAGATTGATCAATCCATAGCAAGCGGCAAACTCGATTGGAAGTCTGATAAAGTCAAATATAGTTTAATGTTAATGATCAAGAAATGATTTACCTTCGACCAATGCCTTTTCTGATGTGTTTTGCATAATACAAGCGAACACAATATGCTTCGTCTGTGATCATATAAGCCATTCGTTTGAAAAGATGTGGACGAATTTTACTCCTGTATGTAATCCCTGACGCCAGTTTGAGAAGACATCCGGCAGCTGTTACACGAAGACGTGCTTTCTCGGCCTCACTGGAAAGAGATTCATTTTATAAAATAGCTTAACTTCAAAACGAACCATTGTTGTCCACCCAAATCTCCATTCTTTTCAAGAATTTCGCTTAGTAAATCGATAAACTTTTGAGAAGCTGTTGCAATCTCTGCTTTCTGATCTGGATCTGTGAGAACAAGCATCGCGCAAAGCACTTTTGCGGTGAACTTGGCTGCGTAAACTTTCGCTGCTGTAAGCTTCGGCCATGGTTGTTGTTCAAGATGGACCAAGTTATCAAATAGGGTGGGGTCCTCGTCATCGTGATCAGGCGACGTCATTATCATTGTTCCGATTTTCTCAGATTCGATAATTTTCATAATTCGTTGAAAGTAGTGGGGAACATCAATAAGGGAAATTTCAGCGAGAACTTGGAAACTGTTCGATGCCGCTGGATTTTCGAGGTGAAGCCGATCGACAAGTGTCTGCAAATTGAAATTTTTCTAAAATTGATTTTCAAGAAAAAGATAACAAACAGCAAACTCTCCATCGAAAAATTCAACAGCTTTCTCTTTTCCAAGGAACGAGGCAAGGAGTCGAGTGGCAAGTTTACAGCTGTGTCGCAATTCGGGTTCTTCTCGCATTACGTACTCTGGATAAATTAGTTGAAACATCATATTAGATACACTTTCAACTTACCCTTCAGTTTTTTACTTATAAGCAAATACCATCTCGCTTTTCGAGTAGACTCTTCATTGAACGTTTTACGGAACTTGGAATTTTCGAAAATCCTACTCAAGCATTGAAGTGCGACTTCAACAGAAACGGCTTCATCATGCTCCAGAATTTTGTCACGGATTAGTTCCACAGTTTCTTCATCGGCGAACGCATGAGCAAACTGATCGCTGAACAGTTTGAGCAGTTCCAGATCTTTTTCGAAACACGTCTCCGCCCAGTTCTTCCTGTCGATTTTGGCAGCAATCGTTTCCGAAACAACATTGATCAGTTCCTGAAGCATTCGCTAATTATATCGTAGTTGTGAACGTTAGAATGTTACCTTTGCCGCGAGACTATCGAAACTCAGCGGAATGACACGATCCAGAAAATGCCGAAATATCGTTTGAGCATTTTTTCCACCAGTCAACTTTTTCTCAATTTTACTTTTCATATTCAGCTGAAAATTAGATTTTTGAAAGCAAATAACATTTCCTAGGTTTCTTACAGCGATTTCCACATTGTCTTTAGTTGTGAAGCGATCGTCCATCAATTTCTTAAAATCGGCGAAAATTGCCTCTTCTAATGCCATTTGATTCACAAGGCCCTTCATCACTCTCTCAAGAGCGGCTGGTTCGGGAAAGATCTGAGCAATCCTGCTGATACGAGTTTGGATCTGAGCAGAACTATCCGCTGTGACCTCATTTGAACTTCCCACTTGACTCAGAATGCCAAGCATTGCCCGACGAAGTTGTGATGATCGAGTAATAATATCAGCAAACATTCTGAAACGATTTTTTTGAAAAAAAAGGTTTTCGTATGATTTTATAACATTACATTCTTCCAAGATCGTCCAAATCTCTGTGAAGCGAGGTCATAATCTTCACTCTTGTCGAAGCTGAACTTTTGTATGGGATGAAATAGACCTGCATATATCTTTCGATGAGCAATCGAGAATCGGTATATGCAGGAAATTTGTGAGGAATTCGCGCAACATGCAAGACGGCTGATGGAATGAATCGAACACAGTTTTTATCAGATTCCGTGTAACGCAAAGCTGCGTTTTCTATCCTATTCGATGAACTGGCATTAACACCTTTGCAGTATGGTTCCGGCTTGGAAGTCATGATATGATGATACAGATCCATAAACAATTTGATGGATGTGTTCCGAACTTTGGGCTGAAATTTTATGATTGTGTATATGAATTTGAGATTTTCGTACTTTTTTGTCTCTCATCCTCTCGGCACACAATTTCAGTAATTTATCACTGATAACTTCCAATTTAGATTTGGCTACATCTGTGACAATTTCAACGACATGAAGACGAACTTCATCGTCCAAATCTTTTGAAAGACGGAAAAGAGCGTCTGAAAAAAAGCACTAGAAACATGGCTACATAAGCAAATTAACATACTGATGACTTGTCCTCGAAGATGAGAGTGATTCGAAAAAAGAATATTCTTGGCTTGATCCACGAATTCATAACGAACTTTTTCGTCCCGATCACTTGAAGCATTGAGAAAAGCGTTCCAAGTGGAATCATCCGATTCCATTCCGAATTGACAATGTTTGTCTTTTGTGCATAATCCAACCGTTCTTACAGCATCTTTGCGATATTGAGGATTGTCGGACTGCAATATCGAATTTCTCGAAAACTATAATATGTCCAAAGGTCTTACCTGCAACCAAAACTTCAGTTCTTCGGTGGCACCGGCCACTAGTTTTTCCGAAATATAATGCAAATATCGGAGCAGATCGAAAAACTTGTGCCGATTATCATATCCACACTTCTCAAACTCTTCTGGTAGCTTCCCTTCTTTTGCAGCAGACGTAATAACATTTCGAATCGATCGGATTAGAACGTTTTCATCAGCCGACGGATTTTCTTTCTCAAGACAAACTTTAATAACTTTCTCCGCCATCATTCGAGCTTCAGGAAAGTTTGTCTGAAATTTGAAATCGGAATACTGAATGTATATGTCGAAAAACCCACTCTTTGATGACTAGTAATTTGATAAAGAATAACATCCATAATTTCGTTGGGAACATATTCCATTGATGATAAAATTTCTTTGGCGATATTGACCAGTTTATTTATGATAGAATCGTTCATTTCTTGATCACCGTGGCTCATCCTGTTGTCATTATCTAGATCTTCGTCACTTTCAGTAACGGGGTCAGCGTCACTAGGACCTTCATTCTTGCTTAGTTTCTGACATTCAGCTCCGAGATTTTTCTTCCATGCTTTTCCAGAAGTAAGAACTAAAAAACCTTTGAAGAAGCACTTGATCACTGTAATTGCTTCTATCTCATCTTCGTCTCTCATTTCATTGAGGGGATTCAAGATTTTCTCGATGACCTAAACAAATTTCAGTTATTTTTAAAGGAAAAGTGATAAACAAACCCCAACAAGAGTAAAGTAATTCTTGAACTTTGGATTGTCTGTCGTAATTTCTGATAAGCCGCGAAGTGTTCGGAAAATGTGCAGATAAACTTCCTATAATTTACCAATTATGAAAAAAAATAGTTCACCATAAACCAACCTTTAAGTATACAGCGGTAGGCGTTGGAATCTCTGGTTGGAAAATCCGAAGAATATGTCCTAAGCACAACGAGAGGTAAAGACGAAAGTCTGAGTTCGAATTGTTGAGAAAGCAGTGCTGAGACAGGTGCTTGAACAATTTGGTAAACCTTTTCGGTGGCTCGGTATCTGCGTCAACGCCAGTTTTACAGTCTAGCAAGCATATAGACAGTTTCTAAACAATTGAATCGTTGGGAAATATATAAAACGGGAAACTTACCCGCAGTCTTTCAATTTGTTGTGATACATTCAATGTATTTTCGATTGGAAGGCATCCTTGAGGATAGTAAACATCTTCGTCCATTACTGAAAAAATAAAATTGTGGGGTCATTCACCAACATGTAGAAAAATTCGGAGAACTGAAGAAAATTCCGCGAAACCGCGGAGAATGAACCAATCTTATTGTTTAAAGGTGGTCTACGGTGAAATTTTTTATTGCATCAAAATGTGCAGAAAAGCATGCAGATTGGCATAAAAATAAAGAAAAAATTCGAAAAAAATGTCTTCATCGAGAAAAACGCATCGAAAAATACGCTGAAAGCACTTAGGGACGAGCTTTTTCCTAGGCCGCCCGGTAAGTAAAAGCGCGCGAATTCAAACTTTTGAAATTTTTTCGCTCGTTCTCTTTTTTCGGTTTTTTCGAGATTTTTCAAGGGTTTGTCAATTTTTCTTCCAGAGGCCGTATGCAAGAAAGTGGAAGACCATTTTCCGGTGTTTGGAAAATGGTTTTCTGAGAGCTTTAACAGATTTTTTTCCATTTGAAAATGGATTCTGGGCTGAACAATGACTAAAAGTGAATATAAGCACTGTGAAAATTCTCTCCAAACTATCAAAAAACCATTTTCCAAACACCGGAAAATGGTTTTCCACTTTCTTGCATACGGCCTCAGATACATCGGAAAACTTGAAAAAACTGTGAAAACGAGCAAAAAAAGTTAAATAGGCAGTACATGCTAGTGAAAACGAGCAAAAAAAATTGAATAGGCAGTACATGCTTTTCTGCACATTTTGATGCAATAAAAAATTTCTCCGTAGACCACCTTTAAAACACCGGTGAAGAATTGAAAAATTAAATATTTCAAGATTTATCACAATTGAGTTACTGTATATTTAAAGGGAGGCTTGAAAAAATACTGTGTGGGTTTTAAACAGAAAGTGATGTTGAAAAATAATACTTTTTGAGAATTGGTCTCTTGAATCTTGACATATAATTGGAAACTTAATTTACACTGAAACCTGTATTTTTTCGTCGGTATCAAGTTCAAAAGCGGTAACGATATTATGAAGAATTCCTAGAAGGAGTACAGAATAGTGGAGACGCAGAGAAACAGAGCGACAAACGACACTCCGATGCACCCGTTCTTCGCTAAAAATCGCTCGCGTCTCCACTCTCTAGTTGCACGCGCTCTCGTTGAAGTCGCAGCCTTGTGCCTTTTTCTGTCTTCGCTTTTTCGTTTTTCCTTTTGCTGATTCTTTCACATTGATCATTATCGATCGTGTTTTGAAGATATACGTTTGCTTACAGGCAATTTCTACCGGAGTATTCAGATATTGAACATGAATCGCCTGAAAGCAGACCAGAAAACCAAGGTTGGTAAAAGGAAACAGGATCCACCAGAGACGTTGAGTGAAGCAGAATATGATGTTAAAAAATGTAGAGCACAAAACAACGCTAATCTAGTCGGTGTTAGCAACATGACCTCTTCACAAACAGTGATGCCCATTACGGTACTTGATCGATGATCCGGTGATGATTGTCGATTTTCCTAATCTTTTCAGCACTTGTCTTATGCAAGCTCCAGTTCTCAGGGATTAGCTCAAAGCTCAATTCTTTCTAAGAACTGTCCTAAGAACTACGAAAATATCGTGAGTTTGCTGGTGATGCATTTCTTAGGCAATACGAAGAAAGATCACGAATTTTAGAAACTAATTTTTGCTGGTTGATACCAGTTGCTAATAATAAAAAATGGCTCCTTGCATTCAACGTCTTCTTTGTTCGCGAATGAAGTGAAACGAAGAACTCCGCGCACACGCGACGCGTTCTCTGTTGCTATCGTTCACAATCAATACCGTCTGCTCTTGCCCTCACTCTACAACACGTATACGATTTCTGTCTTTTTCGCCTTCATAAACGCGCTGCTGAACAAATTGATAACACAGTTTACTTTGAGACAGTCTTCCTCAGTATGATATCACTTTTTTATTTCCCCTTGTTTCAGCTCCGCCAGTTCGTGCAGTGGACTCAAGCTACTGAACCAGTATCGCTGAATTTTCTGGCAAAAGCCAACTGGAACATCGAATACGCGATGACTCTCTACTATGACAATCCAAATTTGTTTTCGAGCTCAGCTCCCGCGACTGTGGATCAGAGTAAAGTATGTTCGATAATTAAACTGAAATTCGTATCTGATCGATAATATTCCAGACTATACAGCTGTTTACTCAATATGTAGACAAACGGGACGGACTGGGCGAGCGCATTGGTCCACACGGAATGCAACGACTTCTGATTGATCTTGGATATGAGCCCATCGATCGACGCGTTCTCATCTTGGCTTGGGTTTTCAAAGCCGAAACGCAATGCGAATTTTCGCTTCAGGAGTTCACCAATGGAATGGCTAGTCTCCAGGTCGATAGTATACAAGGCCTGAAACAGAAAATTGATGCGCTCGATGCTGGAATGAAGGCGGATCTTACAAAGGTTTGTTGGAGCAATTAATTATTCTGAAAGTTTCAAAGTTACACATGCATCTGAAATGATATTGCAGACCCGTGATCTCTGCATTTTCACATTCAATTATGGAAAGTCGGCTGCAAGCCGCAGTTTGGATCTCGAGATGGCTATCTGCTACTGGGATGTTATTTTCGGTGCACGTAAGCCACTGATGTCTCAATGGATCGATTTCCTTTATGGCCAAGAGAGAATGGCGTACGCCCGTTTGGAAGAAGAGTTAGGCCCAACAAATGCGAAGAAAGTGAAATCTGTGTGGATTACCCGCGATACGTGGAATCTCTTCTGGGATTTCATCGTTCTCGGCAAAGAGGATCTTTCTGATTACGACGAGGAAGGAGCATGGCCAGTTCTCATCGATCAATTCGTTGACCACTGCCGAGAGAACTTGAACTATCCTAAGCCGTTGCGTGAGAACTCGAATGCGATGGAACATCAGAGCTATTATTAAACGGTCATTTGGGTTAGTGGTCTTTTTCTTTTTCAAATAATTTTTGAAGTTGTAATTTTACAGTCACGAACGAACGTCAAGTCTACATTTCAATTCTAAGCGCCGTTATATGAATCGATAATGATTTTACTGAAGTTCCACTGTATTTTTCTCTCTTCTTTCATCATCAGATTCGATATTTTCCTCCTTCTCCCTTCTCCCGTTTTTTTTCAATCAGGAATCCCAGCTATTTTGTTTTACTCTCTGCCCCACCATCTCAAAACCTCTCTTTCTCTGTAGACATTTTATGTTCTTAATGCCCCTCAATTCTCCACAATTCATTGTCTCCCTCTCACTCTTCCCAACTTCTCTGCACATACTCTTTGACGGGTTGCTGCTCTCCTCTGTGCTCTTTTCTACATTATATCCTGACTTCTTATCGTCGAAAAAAGATGAAGAGATCATCCTGAGAAATATAGAAAAAAAGATGGAGAATGTAAAAAAAAATTACAGATTTTTTTTCAATATCTGTCTTGTGTATGTCGATTTATAGTTTTATCTTTTTTTTTTCCTTTCTGCTTCGACTGTCAGCATACTCCTCCGTTTTCTTTTCACTTCATTTTATACTACAATTTCTCTCTTTCACCATCACGCTATTCTTTTCATTATACTCCAGAATTGTGTACTTATTTGCATAAATCAAATGTGAATTATCTGTTTCATGTCCTTGCTTCGGAGAATGTTGGAATCTGGCTGCAATATTTCTCAATATGTAAGGGAAAACATCTGAAGTGATTTTGTTTTCAGATGGAGAAGAATCGTAGGAAGAAGGATGACGCTGGTGTGATGACAAAAACGTTAGCGGGGGTTGCCGCTTTGGTAAGGAGGCTTTTTCCAATACAGGGGTTACCGTAATTCTTACACAATTACGATAACAATGTTTATGTGAAAACCTTCTCGTAGTTATAATTCATAACAACTAAACAAAAGAAGAACGTATAATAGGAAATGCAAGTTTTCAGACATTTCTCGTATCCTTCATTTGCTCGTCGTACGACATCACATTCAGTCATGTCATCTCGACGATCGATGTAATTCTAGAAGAATCTGAGTACTACAGGTCCACAAAAGAGTGGATGGCAAGCTCAATAGATGCCACGTGGCATGAAGTTTCTATACCATCCAGAAAAGCCGAACATCTTCAGGTATTTTGAAAATCAAGTGAGAAATTAATAGATAAATCGCAGGCTATCAATCCAGAAGTAGATGTGGCTGCTGGCGGTAAGCACGTTTTCACACCAGAACAACTCCATTTTTTTGATGGATCTCGCGACTCAAAGTTAGTTAAATTCAGGATTCAACCATCAACAATCTATTTATTCTTCAGACCATGCTATCTTGCGATTCTTGGACGAGTATATGATGTTGACGGCAAGAAGGAATATTACGGACCTGGAAAATCTTATCATCACTTTGCCGGACGTGACGCCACACGAGCTTTCACAACGGGAGATTTCACAGAAAATGGATTAGTGGCCAGCACACATGGTTTATCTCATGATGAGCTTTTATGTTAGTTTTTCAGTTTTAAATATGTCGCATAAATAACTGAAATTTCAGCAATCCGTGACTGGGTTTCATTCTACGACAAAGAATATCCATTGGTTGGAGTGGTTGCTGATTTGTATTACGATTCCGACGGTCAACCAACCGCTGAACTCACTGACGTTCTTGCCAGAGTAGAGAAAGCGAACGAGTATCGAAAAGCTCAAGCTGTAGAAATTGAAGTATTCCCGCCGTGTAACAGCGAGTATAATCAAAACGGAGGAAGGGTTTGGTGCTCGACAAAAAGTGGCGGGGTCGAGAGACAATGGGCTGGGGTGCCAAGGTAATTATTGATTAAATCCAATTCAAAAGAAAATAATTTTCAAAATTCAGAAAACTCATCGAGCAAACGACGAAAAAGTTCCGATGTGCTTGTGTTAAAAACTTTGGACCAGGTGTATCTGGAGCTGAAGAAGTGAAGACGTCCAGTAATCGTGGAGATCTCGACCATCCAGATCTCGAACTCTTTCCAGACTGCTCGCCAACATCTAATAGTTGCAAAATTGTGTCCTAATATAATTCTCAATATATAATTCCATCCTCTTGTTGCCCGTCCTGTTCCCCAAGGTTTTTTTTGCTTTAGACGCCCTCCAAATTCTTACTGTTCCACTCAAAAATACGGTTTCCCATTTTACAAAAAGCTGCCTTTTCAACCCTCAACTCTGTGTTTGTTTTTCTCTCTCATACATTTCATTCTATGCATACTATACAATGTCTACAAAATCTAGAGCTTGATTTAGTAATAATAATAAACTCATATGAACCTAAATTCGAAGGTATTTTTCTAGATGAACGTGAACTTGGGATTCATCAATTATCATCACCCAAGATGAGACTAGATTTTATTCCAACTAAGATCCCTGAGGTATCATTTTCTTCTTCTCGTCACAATGCACTTTTACTGGTTTTTTCTGATAAATGTAAAGGAAATTAGGTTGAAGAGCAGTCCCAAAACAAATCTGCAATTCCAGATAGTTTCCCTGTTTCTGAGCTCGTTTTCTCTTATCCAATGCAAATCAAAAAAGAAGTTTCAAAGCGACAACAAAGTGAAAAAAATGAAGAAATCTAAATAATAGAAGGATCTTTCAGGCCAGACTAGTTTCACCGGATACTCCAGGAACTCCTCAATCTGTAAAAGATGTTCATCGGCCAGTATCCCAGTGATTTATTAATTATCGAATTACTGTTAAGAACTTTGTTATTTTCAGAGCTCCACCAGCAATGGTACCAGTTGATAGTCGAGCATTCACGTTCAATGATCCTGAAGGAGACACTTTGGCGTTAGTTCTAGAAACAGACAAAAATACCTAATCGTATCTACACACCAGGGGGCACTTTTTACGCTGAGCTTTTTTAGGAAATTGTTTCACACAGTTTTTTCCGTGACATTTCAAAGAAATAAGAGCCAATAAAAAATGAGAAACGTGGATCCACAGTATTCGCATGATGCGAATTATAGTGAATTTATTCCTCTCAAAAGATAGAGAAAGTACCCCAAAAGTCGAATCAGTATTAAATACAAAAAAAAATAGCAACTTAAATCGGGATATACTAAAAACAAGGCCCCTAAAAGTAAAATCAGCTATTAAAAATTATTTTCAGCTTCTAAAGTGTAGGCTTAGCCTTTAAAAAGCAGGTTTACGGCGCACACGCTTTAAACTCAGACTTAGAAAAAATATTCCGTAAAACCTGTATTAGAAGGACCCCTTTAATAGAAGAAATGTGTTTTAAAATAAAAATTTCCGTAATTTTTCAATGGAAAATATTCCACGAACTCCACAAGTCAATAGAAATTTGTTGAAATTCTATTTTTCGATGAAAATCTTGCTAAATTTTGGTGAAATTGGCAGATTTTAATGAATTTTGAACGAAACTTCGTCGTTTTTTTTAATGCAAAGTTTCGGAATAAACTAGCCAGAAAAATAGAAGGACCCCCTCTAATTGTAAGGTCCTTGTAGAAGAAGGACCCTCTGGAGGTACCTTGGAACAATAGAAGGGCCGGTTCTTCTAGTATAGGTTTCACGGAAATGAAAGTAGGCTCAGTCCTTAAAAAGTAAGCTTAGAACCCTAAATTACTGTATACCTAAAAACAAAGATATCTGAAAGTCAAATTAGAAGTTCCTTCAGCTGTTAAAGAGTATGCTTAGAGCTTGAAAAGACATTTACAAAATGTGAAAAAATCCCTAGAAAATTCTGAATATCTATGCAAAAAATTCCCTTTTCTGGTAATACTTGAAGTTTGTTTTCTAAGTTTTCGATTCCCAATTTTGTAAAAACATTTTTGAATGTTCATAGAACATGTGTCTCTCAACCGATTCCGGAATATTTTTACAAATTTATGAAAGCTATGTTTTTCCAGTTTAGAATATTCTAAAAACTATCCCAATAACTTTTTTAATGTTCAAATTAGCCTTTAAAAGTATTAAAAAATCCCTATGAAATGCCTATTCAGGAAAAACAATTTCTCCTTCTTTTTTCTGAACACTTGTTTTTCCAGTTTCGGAAACTCCAAAAACTACCCCAAGAATCATTTGAATTTACAATCAGAAATTCCGAAAAAAAGAAAGTTTTTTTTGAAAACGTGAAGTATATAATAACCATCGAAACTTCATCTAACGTGCTCCCGATTAGCCTAGTGGTTAACAGGGATGAATTTGAAACAACCGTCGTTGGTTCGAGTTCTCGCCAGAGCCTAGTGGCAGGAAAACCAGTGGCTTAACTAGCATTGAGAGAGCCAAAATGTATTTATGAATCACTTGATTTTTTTGTGGCTCACATTGTTTTGTTAGAATTTAGAAGAAGTAAACAATACCAAAACTTGTGTACTCTGTTGTATATTTAAAGAATTACTTTTTATTATTCTGGCAGAAAAAACCGGAACTATGGAAGATAAATTCTGGTGGCTGTGGCCAAAGGATGACAAATACAGTAACCTGAAATTTATATTATTTTAAGGATTCATGTTTTTGTTGTTCATCAGATTTACTAGGCAAAAATTTGTTCCAAATGGACCAAAACGTGGTCAAAAATGACTCTGAATGGCTCAACAACGGACCAAAAGTGGTTCAAAAACGGACCAAAAGTGGTTCAAAAACGGACCAAAAATGGATCAAAAACTAGCGTAAAGTGAGTCAAAATTGGCCTAAAACGGTACAAAAGCTGACTAAAATGACTGAAAAGTAGACCAAAGAAGGCCCCTGCCATAGTATCAATTTGGAGTTCTTGAGCTTTTCTATCATAGTTGGCCAAAAAATATTGAGCCTAAAGGAAATTGTGGCAGGATCTGACTTTGGTCCGTTTTCTTTGATTTCGAGATATTTTTGGCTTTCTATTAAGCTATTTTTAGCCTGGTTTTGATTCATTTTTCATCCGTTTTAAGCCAAATTTGTCTCAAAAATTAAAAATAATTTTCACCTCTCTACACTCTCCATGTCTTTAAAACATGCCCTTTTCCAGGTCTACTGTAACAACCAACAAATCGGATGCGCCGTTTACTGATTTACTGATTTTCGCCGATATTTCTGTTATTTTCCCCAAACAAGTAAAAAATAAAAGCGTTTGAGAACAAAAAATATTGACTGAAAAAGCACGAAATTCGAGAAAATAGAATCCGCAAAATGAAAGTGTTTTCAGGTTACGGTAGTAGTCGTTGGGGGTCCTTCGGTAACCAGAGTTACCCACTCAGGGAATTTTTGGCGTCGAGTGGCGCGTTCCCGGCACCTTCGTGGCTATTAGCCAAGGAATTCGGCTGTTAGCCCATGTTTTTGGCTAATAGCTGTGAAATACGGCTAATAGCCAACTCGGCAATCCGGCGTCTAAGCGGCTTCTAGAACCAGCAACTCCTGGTGTGGTAGCTACGATCTAGGTCCGCGATTTGGCGGCGATCAGCGGACCTACACCGCGAGCGCAAGGATCTGGTTGACACCACTCGTCCTTCCTGGCGCATTAATTATTTTTTATTTATTTCTGGCCTATTTTTTATTCGGTTTTTACAACTATTATTCAACTCTATAAAATCCTTGATGAAATGGAGCTGCCGATGCCTACTGTGAAGCAGATGAGTAAGTGCTACAGTCATTTTGCAGTAAAAATATTATATTTTCAGATTTAATAGAAAGACTGACAGAAATCTACGGAAATTTCGATTTTTGTTGGATGAGAAGTAGAAATATAGAGGTAAACTTTTATTCATTTGATTTTCTTCCAAATAATAAAGTTTTCAGACCCTTCTTACGGACGCTCCACCTAAATTTCAATGACGCTTGGATTAAGTCAAACCCGGTTAGTACCATTAAATACGCTTTTCAAATAATTTTTGCAAAATTTCAGAAGGCCAAGCTCATCCGGAGAGAGCGCAAGAACCAGGATTTGTGAGAACCATCTACATTCATCATTCTTCTCCTAAGTTCATTCCTTGCTATTTCACTAATTTCGATATCTTCTTCCCTCGTTGCTTTATTAATTTCCGTCATCTTTTTTTGTAACTCTATTCTCATTCACATTGGCTAATAGCGGGGCAAAACGGCAA